GATAATAACTAAATAGGAAACATATGCCCATAAATGATACAATAGAACAACATCATTTTGTTTCAATGTTAAGCCGCGCAAAAGATAAAGGGAGTTCTGATGGGAAATTGCATGAAACAAGAATTAAACGTAATGACTGTAGGATGGCTGCATTAGAGCTGCATTAGAGATAAAGTCGTGGACTACCAACCTGAACAGTCAATTTTTGGAGTATTCTGTCAGTGTTTGCCGGAACAGAATCACTTCGGCAGAGCCTAGAGACAGCCTCTTGAGAGCCCTTACAGAGCACGAGAATATCACCACCGCCAACCACCTGTTGTCCGTTCTCCGAATCTGTGTAGTTGACTGGGAGCTGGACAATTACTGTATTTCTCTGTTTGCTCGAAAAGAACGGAAACCGACGAAGATAGCCTATTTGTGTCCAGGGGATACCATGTATCTGTATTGCAAAACGATCAACACAAGTGAGCTTAGTAAAAGTTTTATTTCGAAGCTAGGTTAGGGTTAAGTTATAGGTTTACCTGTTCCAATTGGCTCCCTATTAGACTTATAGCTAGTCTGCCAAAGATGAAATTATTATATTTTTGGTTTTTTGCACTGATTTTCACTTTGAAATTTGTACAAAAGATCGTTTTTCGCTAATTTGACTGAAAACTGTCACATATAGTACAAATCAGTATGGCTTATCGAGTGTAATGGCAAATACTAAATGCCCCACAATATGGTGTGAATTTAGTTAGGCCGGCTTTAATTTGGAATTCATACTTGCCATAAAACAGAATAGGGCTATAGTTGTATGGTTTTAATGGCTAAATGCATTACTTTAAACCCTAATGTCACAGGCTCGAATCCCACTAGGTGCGTTGGCAAGTGGATGAGGCAAAGCATGCGCTATAGTCTTGTCTTTTGGAATGCATCGGAGAAGATAATTTAAAGCAAAAATCAGAGCTCTTTCATCCAACTTTAACAAAGGCCAATCAAAACTGGTGTATCCTCTTGATTATGCAACAATTAATAGAGAATGAGTTA